ACATCGTGAGACAAACGATAATACATTTTATTATTACAAGAAAATACACAATATTCAAGGACTAAACCCACGTTTATCTATTTTGTGGTAACATCAACAGCTATATATCTTACGTAGAAATTAAGAACCTAATTAAGAATCTACTTGGCCTAAATTGCCAATAGTTACCCCAAAATGCAACAACCTATGAAGCCAGACTTAAAAAAAAGTGTTGGTTCTTACACGCGCGGATTTGCACTGTATTTACAAAACGTAGTAGAGTTTGGGAACATCAAACACAGATCCATCTATTCGCAAGGTCGAGAATTCGCACTCGGGACCCCCGTATTACAAATCCAGCGCCCTAATCAGTAGGCCACACTATTTGCTAAGTATAGCAGTTTTTCTACGTAGTGTTTTTATATTTTCATCTGTTACAGGTTCTTATCTGAAATCTATTGAAACAATTACAAAACCTGGCCATGGTGGTGGGGCTATTCAGTTTGTGGCCAGAAGGGGATCGATAGAGATTGGTATTTACCATTTGAGTTTATTAAGAATCAGTTAAGCTTTGATTTGTAGCTTTTTAACACGTTTTTCAGTCCAACATTATTGAATTAACTAGTCCTGTACGTTGAGAGATTCTTGTAGATGCGCGTAATAGGATTAGTTTCAGTTTAGTTTAGTATTATCGCACACTATTTACAGAAAAACAACTTAACGTAAGATGGTTTACAATGATATAGGAAAAATAAATACAGATAGAAATTAACTATAAGAAACAATATTTAATTGTGTACAGTGACCAAAGTAGCCAATGAGCTTTCGATTCGTCGGATGAGTAATGGTTCTAACCAATTCATCGCATGTCCCTCAGTTCCCCCGTTAGGATTCAATACATCGATGCTACGCCGACATGTTAAACTTAACGGAACATTCATCCCTTGTGCCACAGCATTCTTAGAACTAACAATAGAAACGTGTCGCATAATCAAATAGTATTTATGGTATATTGAAACGCATCATTTTGTACTCGATCACAGAGTCAAAAATCAAAGCTAATGCACAGCAAACACAAGGGAATTTCGAAATTTACAGTGGCAGCTCAGGAGGGCTAATCCGCCTAGAGGCAAACGAGGTAGGTTTCCTCAGAGTTTTTCATTTATATTAACGTCATCCATGGTCTGATCTAAGAAAAGAGGTTTCTAAGAGTTGTAATTGTTTTAGCTATAATTTCTTTTTTGTAAGAATCTGTTTGTTCATTTGTTAGTCATCGATATAAATAAACTTAGCTATCGCGTAATACGCTTAGCTGCACTTATCCTAGCTAGTGAATCTGTTAGAATTAAGAGGGGCAACATGAAGAGTAAGGGGGTTTATCCCTCTTGTAGGCCTTGTTCCAAAGGTAATGCCTCTTATGTTATGTAGATCCTGTGAAACGGAAGCTGCCCACGTTGACAGTGCAAGATGCTTTAAGTGCATTTACATCCTCCAGGAAAACATTCACGTAAAGCTTATGAGCACATGGTATTATCGAAGACAAACTGGGTACCATGTCTAAAAATAAATTGAGAGCTAGGGATTACATTGGTATATTCCTATATATTGGGGATGAACTCTCGTACACCCTTGATCCTCTCTTGGTGAGGATGCAGACAAACGATGCCGGAGACTGATAGATCGAGATGAATCAATAGCTGTAACATAACAAAATAAATAAATAAATTGCAATTTAGGGAGAATATCGCCAAAATAGCTCGTCTATGTCTCTGTTTATCGAACAATTCGCAGTATTTTGACTCTAGCCATGTTTCTCTCCCAAACCCGGTTATTTGACACTTGATAGACCAACGTGTTGTCTTCGTCGGTGGTTACTTTTTTAAAGTGCTTATATTTTATCTTGAAATTGATCAACCAAAGGTCCAGGTCAAAAATGGCGGGTCACTAGAAGTAAATGGTGCTCATGCGGGACAAACAGGTCATACGCAAGCTAACTGGACTTCAGGCTCAGCGGGAGGTGCAGGAGGCATTGTACATATCCTGGCCAGTGGAGTATTCCTATCGTCTGGCTCGATCTCACTAAAGCCCGGGAATTCTACAGGCTGTACAAACGTAGATAGGGCATCTCCAGGATTTTTGTCGATTAGAGGTTTGTTAGAAACTAGCATTAAATACCATGTGACAAAATCAAATGCTATTATTTTTAAAATACACACGCATTATCGTTAAAACAAAACAGGATGACCTTACCACAAGAGACCATGATCATCGTCTCTTGACTTCAACCATATCTATAATTGCCTTGCCCTGCCTTAATGAACGTCAACTAATCTTTATTAGTCTCCGCCAGCAAAAATGGCACGTCATCAATACATTTTAGACTTATGGCTTGCGTGGCTTGGCTTGGCTTGCCTTGCCTTGCCTTATGTTACCTTGCCTTGCCTTGGAATTCGAAGAGATGATAAATCGAGCAGCATTGAGATATACCTATTGAGATTAAGCCATGTTGTTCCACAATTGCAAAGAGATTGAATATAATGAACCAAGACATTGTTATCGTTTTTTGTTGCAGATCATTCGGGCCATCACAGCATGTCCTGGAATAATGATACGGTCTTTCCAATCAACCCTGAAGGATTTTCTTGGCCTAGCGCAAGCTCCAAAACAGTTTCGCTTCCCCCGGAGTCTAGTACATTCATTGTCGCTTTAATCCAGCCATCACTTACTCCAACCAAAACTGGTTCCAGCACATTTCCAATTGCTTCTTTTTCTACGACAGAGGAACTTATTATAGCTGCCAGTTATAGTTCAGATTTCCCTCGACAAACTATGTTAGAATCACATAGTGCAGTGTACACATCGTCTGTCGCCGATCTCACTTCAAACCAACTTAGACAATTTGCCACTGATGTTAGTCATTACTCAACTGCTACAAAGCTTCCAACTGGTAAGAACACGAATGATCAGGTTTAATGCAGCAATGATCATAACGCGCCCTCCATATCATAGCACGCGCCTTTAAGCGTCATTCCATTGTTACCACACTGAGGGTGGTGATTCGTGAACGGCCATAATTTTTTTCCCGTGAGATGTGAAATTTTCTCTCGTGAATCGTGATTTCGTCGGAATTTTCTAAAATAATTTTCTGCGAAATGAGAAATAAACGTTTAAATTCGTCGGGAACCGTTATTTTGATTTGATTAGTTATGTCTTCTATAATTTTCGACACGAATCATTAGTGACTTGCCTAATAACTGATGAAAGTGTATAATGGTACATGTTCATTTATCTCTAGAGCTAACTGTTGTAACATCTGCCTCTCCCGTTGACACTGCGTCAGAATGGGAAGAACTGTTGAAGAACGTAACATTCCTTAAGGTAATGCATAAAATGATGTTGTCATGTCTCGATTTCAATCTCTTTATCATAAACATGGAAGAGTCCAATAATTGAAAAGTGCTTAAATACAAAAGTTATTGAGGAATTTAACTCTTTGACTTAGTTTTTAGAAGTGCAAAAGCGAACGTCTCCATCATTTTCATAGACTCCATAGGGAGACACTGATACAGTCGGTCGACCCCGGTAATTCGAACTTGGTTAATACGAATTTCTCGTTTTTTGGGAACTCAAAACAATTTCCCTTGGATTTGTTCTTCAGTCATTTATTATATCGGTTATTTCGAATTATTTTTCGATTCCCCTGAGTGTTCGAAATAACGGGATTCAACTGCACAATGTTTGGTATAGTCTACAGTGTACATCTCCAACCTTATTTTCATAGATTACCATGGGAACCTCGCACAACAACTTCTGGATAGAGGACATTCAGAAGCTTGCACAGCGATTCCAGACACTTGTAGAGAAAGAAACTCTTATGGAAGAGTCTGTAGAACGGTTTCTACAAATCCTTAACGAATTTAGCATCATAGTTAACATAATACCTGGCGAGCATCAAGAAACTATGAAGGTAAGCTAAGAATATTTTCCTATTTTTAGTAAACATAATCAGATACATTCTCTAGGAGTGATGCTTTCACGAGTGATACTTTCAGGAGTGATTCTGAACCAGGACTGAAAAGCTTACCGAGCTGTTTTAGTATGTTTATATAAAACACTGGATCCATGGGGAGTGGTCGATGGGTTTGCGTTAGTCACATATCAGTAGGGATGATTCACTACGGTATCAGAAGCAATAGATCAAAAGAAAAAAGCAGTGAAGGCTTCGGTGAAACGCAACTGCCGCGTATTTTGGTTGATCAACTATCTGTATAATAGTTCATCGGTCAATTGTCTCGCTTGAACGTTCATGGTTATTAGTAAAGTAAAATTTCCATAAGTGAAAGCAAAGTCAGTTTACTTTAGTTGTCGTGAAAAAATTTCAAAATTCTGTCTTTTTGAAATGATGTTTGATCTCAAAGCTCATGAACTGTTTGTCTTTAAGAGCGTGGCTGCCTCACTGATGACAACGGCAGAATTCAGCTTTGAAATGAAGAACGAAGATGAATGGAAAACAACAGACAAGGTCGTGTAACAAACTGTTTGTCAGTTCATTAATGCAGTGTTTTTGCAGAGCTCAATATAAAATGAAATGTGTGAGTAGTCGGCTTCCTTGGACGTCCCTTGTCCTTCCAGCCTTGATTGGTTCATTGTTATAACCCCCCTATACATTGTAGCCCGAGAAGCATTTTCTCAGTTACCGTTGTCGCTTTTTCCGTGACCAGCTCCCCACTGTGTTGCGTATAGTGGAAAACATCACACTGGCACTTGGGAAAACTACCACCGAAAATCAACAGTTCAAGTTTGAGCATTACTCCCAGAGGACTGGTAAGTATGCATTTTAAATGTGTTTTCCTATATCACCTTCAGTTTGATCCAACATGCGACACACAGCTCCCATGAGCTATAACTGCTAGAAGCAAGTAGCGTTAATTTGGCCCGTTTTTATTCAGTAGCCCTTGACTTAATAGTCACATTTATCTCATCCGTAAATCCTAGCTAAGTAAGAACCGTCGGATTCCTATCCAGGGCCTGGACTACCCAGGCTATTCCAGTTATAGTTGCTAGTTTAAGACAGTATGAGGATGGGCCACTGTAAAGAGAGTCTAATGTAAAGCAGCTGACACAGCCTTATGTTTCCAGTCGTTCAAGTTGTAACTTTTAAAAATAATGGAGACAGGAAGACCACGACACACTTCATGCTACCAGACATCACAAGAACAAATCTGACTGTTTGGGAAGATATACAGGATGCTGTATTGATACCATTAGATGGACAGCAAACTTTCAAAGGTAAGGTACCGAGGTGTTGTATATATTAAGCTTTATGGAGTACACGAGTAACATACTGCTGCAATCATGTTTTGTGTTGTTCACTCAGTGGCTGTACAAAATTACGGAGAAGGAAAACAAAAAGGGCTACACGTTTACGATTTTCAAATTTACTTGTAACGAGATAACGCCAGCATATTTATATATTTATATCCATAGAACTGATTCAAGGATATTGATTGAGTTAAACTTAGTTCTGATATTTTAAAACAACTCAAACACACCCAATATTTCCGTTTATTTTAGACGAATTCACAGTGTCCATAATAATACACAGAAATATCAGCAACATTCTACCAACTGGTTTTACTGAACGTACGGAAGAACAGTAAGTTGCTTATGATATTTTTTAAATATAAGTGTGTTCTCACTAGCTGAAATGCACCTGCATCATTGTCGAATTTTAAAAGAACGTTATGAATTAGATGTTGTCGTCTTTGAATCGATAGGATCACTCAGTGCACTTCCTGATCTGACCACTGTTGGATGTTATCAAAATAAATATCGACAAAGACATTAAAAGTACGCCGTAATATTTCAGATAAAGGTCGCGTTCATTTGGAATAAAATCTTTCATCCCTAACCAGTTTTGGTTCATTTGATCATTTGGTTGAGAGGCGGAGACTGCTAAAGGGAAATAAGCAATAAGCAATAACCAATAACCGTCGACCACTAATTTTACGGTGTATGTAAGCCAAGACAGAAAATTCCTGTTCCAGTATTACTTGTAAAGATTTCTCAAGCGTAATTGGGATATGACATCCCTAATTTTCACTCGCAAGACGAAACTACAAAAGACCATGAGGTCTTGTTAATTATTCCTTTTTTCCAGGGACAATGATTTTAAGGTGGCATCTCACATCATCTCCTGTTCTATACTTTACAATTCTCGTTTGGTAACAAATATGACGTCCCCGGTTGAGCTGCATTTCCATCACCCGGTAGGTTATTTTACATTGCTATCATTTTTTTTCAACAATGACAGCTATTTCGGAACAAATATTATGTCTTCACCGTTTGCTGTGATTAGAGACAGTTGGAGCGAGTTAAATAAAAGTGAAATTGTAGTGAAAAGTATAAGGTATGTATTTTATTATTTTGTAATATTTATAGTGATAATAAAAATAGTAATAATAATAACAATAATAATAATAATAATAATAATAGTAATAATAATAACTACTTTATTACCGTGTCAACTACATCTAGCAGTGGAGAACCCTCACTGCTAATAGGGGACACCTAACTAGAACTATTTAAAAATAACATACAGAAAAGTCCTGTAAGAGAAATTACGAAGAATTTGACTATTACTGTTTGTTTGTTTCGTAATCGATGTGCATAACAAAAGCTGTCTTCTTTTACCATTGTAGGATAAAAGAAGTTTTCGTTCTCTCTGTGTATTTTGGGATCCTCGAGTTAGGTATGCCGGATGACTGATGAACTAAAGTAATGCAAAAGTCAGTGCACACTTGTTATCTTAAATGCAACGAAATTTTAAAGCATAAATTAAGCATTCATCAAATCAGTAACGTGGATGTCTTCAGTAGCAGGAACATAGGCGTAAACATTAAGTTGTCAAAGCAGTTTCATTAATTTTGTTTAACTTTAATTACGAGAGCTGGCTTAAGCAATAACCTGAGTGTGGGTTTGTTAACTGTCATTGCAGTGCTTGGTCTACCGATGGTGTGAGGACCCTGCAAGTCAACAAGACACACACTAGTTGTCATTCAACTCACTTGACAAGCTTTGCCATTCTTACACAATTCAAAGAAGTTAAGGTAAATGAAATTCTGAAAATAATTTACAATAGTATACTTGTCAAACTAATTTTTGGTTAGTAGAAAACGAGAAAACAGCCAGCCAAGTACGACTCGATAAAATCAATCAACTGAAAAAAGATTTCAGATAAAGAAATAGTTGTCGTAGTAGAGGCATGATGTTGATGTGAAGGGGTATCTTTTCAAGCTCAGTCTATCGAGATGCTCTGAACAGTGTTTTATACATGTATTAACCTTTTTTGAAGATTCCTGAAGACAATGAATTAGCCCTCAGTATTATAACATACATCGGCTGCGGACTTTCCATTGCCTGCCTGTTTGTGACCCTACTCGTTTATCTCGCATTTGAGTGAGTATCTTTCATTCTGTCTAACTTTAAGGACACGAAGTGTGGGATCAAAAAGTTGATTTAGCATCAAACTTTGATAATGAAACTAGCGTCTCTTTGCAATATATTGCAAGATTATTTACACTTTCATGTGAAAAAAAAAAAACACAAATTTAACTAACCTGTACTATGAGGCACGAATAAATGCACCCCGAAAGACGCCTGTATCTGTAAGTGCTAAGTAGCACATGAACTTTTTCAGTTCACATTAATACTTTTATTATGCCATTTTTGTCGCCCAAGGTAAAGGTGAGATGAATCGAGCGTCAGACAACGCAAGAGGACTAAACAGTTATCATATATGTTTCATCTCTGTCCGTTTTTTTCACTCTTACCCAACTCAAATAATTAACAATTATTCACCGAAGTGGAGGTGAATAGTGGTGGATATTAACCGAGCCGCGAAGCGGCAAGATAAATATTCATCACTTTCACCGACACTGAGGTGAATAATTGTTTTAGGATATACCACACAAGCTGAATAATTAGCGGACCNGAAGAAACCTGCCGTCTCGTTTCGTTGCTCCTGGTTGCTCGTTGACTGGACCACGATTGCTATGACAACGGACACCGAAGCGAAGCATTAGTCACAAATAAGCCGTGAACCGTTTATACGAGCTCTTCGCGTCTTGTATAAGCCACGCTCGTATAAATGGTCAAGTTCACGTCTTATTTAATCCGCGGCTTGTGTAAGCCGCGGATTATTTTTCTCGTATAAATGGCCCTAATGATACGTCAGTCTTCTAGATTCGAAGTTAGCCTTAGCATTGATGATCCACCGAAATTATCATGTACGTTAATTGTTTTTCTCTGTACATGGTGGCTGAGGTTTGTATCATGCAAACTTCTAATATTTTACTTCGAAATATGTACTTTTTTAGATCCTTTGCCGTGTTATAGCAGTAGGCCTGCACTATTTGTTCTCAGCGGCTTTCACTTGGATGTGTATAGAAGGGTTCCATCTTTATGTCATGATCGTTAGCGTGTTCAGCGCTGACAGCGTGAGAATGAAATACTACTACTTGATTGGATGGGGTAAGTAAGTCTTTCTTTTTCTAATTTGTTCAATGGATTATCTCCGAGTTTTGACAAACGACGAACCTTTGATGACACCTCGACTCTTTGATGAATTGACCACAATCGACATAGCGATGTTCAAACGTAGTAATCAAAACCCTAACCCTAACTTAGAAACTGAATTTTTTTTAGTAAGTAATAGCTCCAACAAACATTTAATGAAAAGCGGATGAAATTTTGAACGACACAGGCCAAGTTCAAGACATTAAGACCACCTTAGACAAAAAAAAGAAAATGATATATGTTGGTTACCCCTGCGTCTACAAGACAGTGGGGTAAGTTTAAATACGTCTGTAGACTTGTGTTGCAA